TTTGACTAACAAAATGCAAAAGCACTTTAAATATTTCCTTTTGGCGGTGATTGCGATACTGTTCACTACAACAGGTAAACAATGATTAGCAAAATGCCCAGATTAATATGAAGTCAAAACTAATTACAACAGTAATTTACCATAATTTATAATATCAATGCAGTTGTGAGCGGTCGACGGGAATGCATAGTCCGTAAAGTTCCCAATGCGGACACAATGTGTGTTTGTAACGCCACGTATTGCGATGACTTCCCGCCCCTCCGACCGGCCAAACAGGGCTTCGCAACCGTTTATGAGAGCAATAAAGTCGGCGACAGGTTTAAGGAGACAGAACTCAAGTTCGGCTCAACCACTTCGGGCGCCGTATCGGACGGACAACGGGTGACCGTAACGATAGACGCGACCAAAAAGTATCAGTCAATCTACGGCTTCGGCGCCGCTTTCACAGACAGTACGGGACAGATGTTGGCGTCGGTGGACGAGTCGTTGGCCAACCAATTGATTGACAGCTACTTCTCGGAGAACGGTATCGAGTATTCGGTGGCCAGAGTTCCGATGGCCGGCACAGACTTCTCCGATCGGCCCTATAGTTACGACGACGTCGACGAAGATCTGGAGCTCAAACACTTCGCCCTTCAGAGGGAAGACATCGATTGGAAGGTATGGTTAGACTCTTAGAGGGAATTCAAAATGTATAATCAATCGCTTATACTTTGTATCACTTTATTAGATCCCATACATCAAGCGAGCGCTGAAAGTGAGTCCACACAAAGTGAAACTCTTCGGCAGTCCGTGGAGTCCTCCCGCGTGGATGAAAACCAATCACAAGTTTGAGGGCAACGGTTATCTGAGGGGTGCTGTCGGCGGACCCTACTATCAAGCGTTTGCCAACTATTTTGTCAAGTAATTTGGAAAAAAATTAATAATTATCATTAAAAAAACATTTTAAAAATAACTAAATTATAAACATATTAACCATCAGATTCTTAGAGGCGTACAAATCTCATGGCATTGAGTTCTGGGGCTTAACCGTCGAGAACGAGCCAAATGAGGGCCAAAACAACAAGAACTACAACTGCCTGAACCTCACGGGTCCGACGGAACGGGATTTCGTGAAACTCAATTTGGGACCCACTCTGGCGAAGGCCGGTTACGGCGCAGACAAAGTGGCGCTCATGGTATACGACGACAACTTGGGTGAACTCAAACACTTTGTCACTCCCATACTGGAGGACAAGGAGGCCATGAAGTACGTGTCGGGCATCGCGTTTCACTGGTACGGCAACGGACTGATGGACGTGTGGCCCGACTCGCTGTTGGACGAGTTTCACGAGAAGTACCCTGATACTTTTATCATCAACACCGAGGCATGTCATTTGAGTGACTCCGAGCCGAGTGGCGTACGTCTGGGCAATTGGGAGTACGCGGAACACTACGCCTACGATATCATAAGAGTAAGCTAGGGTTAAATATTGCACAAATTAATTATCACGCTCAATTAATTGGATAGATGTTTGGAAAATGTAAATATTTTAAACGTGTAATTATAAATAGGATCTGAATAAACACATGAGAGGTTGGGTTGAGTGGAATATGGCGCTGGACATGAAAGCGGGACCAAGGTGGAATGAGAAACAGGGCTACGGCGGCTGCGTTAACATCGACCCGGCGGTTGGCGAGGCCTACAAACAGCCCTCGTTCTACGCGATCGGACACTTTAGCAAATTTATTGCACCCGATTCTGTGCGCGTCCACAACACCGCCGACCAAACGTTCAAAAATTTCTCAGTGCTTACCGTTCAGCGGCCCGACAATCAGCTCGTTTTGGTCGCACTCAACGCCCGGTCCGATGATATTGAGCTCAATATTGTGGACTCGACCCGCAGTTTGTCCCATAAAATACCCGCACATTCCGTTCAATCGTATATTTGGTGATCGGGTTATATGTGTGTTGCAATTATCGGCTTTATTTTGTATTTATATTAATCTTGTTTAATAAATCACTCGCTTTTAAGGCACTCAATGCCGTGTTTCAAATAAATTGTCAATTAAAATATATATATAAATTTGGTTTATTTTAATCAAAATATAACATAATTAATACAAAACAAAATTATGGACTTAATACAAAATTATTATGAATTCAATGGTTTTGTGTCATAAAGTTGTCTTTCAAATAGTATTTCTCGCATTATTTAGCATTGATTTCATTAATCAATGACAACATAAGTGTTAATCTAGTTATCGACCGCATTGGCAGACAATTATCTTCTTATTAAAAGCTCTTGTGGTAATCGGTGTCCAACAGACTCTTAAGACAACGAGTGCTCGACATGTCATCTGTTGGATGGGATTGGAGACCAGAATTTGCATAACAATATTGCTTAAGAAATATAGCCATTCAATTGAAAGTTAACTTGTTTTATATAAATTACAAGTTTAAACATCAAATTATTACTTTGTTTATTGATTAAACAAAATTCGTAAAAATATATATATTTATCTAAATATATTAAACAACTTGCAAACAGTTGTATGTGTACTGAACTGGAAGTACTGTGCGTCCAATTATGAGATAATTATAGATGATATCAAATCACTGGTCATTATAATTATGTTATGAAAATTCATATCGATTTCAAATAAACCGAATATTAAAAAACAAACAATAATATTAAAAACAAAGCTTTTGACGCAAATTGTCTGTCGAGTAAACATTTGAGGGTTTGTTTTGTAATATAAATACTTAAATAAAACAAGTATTGAAAACAATAGAGAATATAAACCATTTGTTTTGATTTGAGGGATCAATTGTTGTACAAAAAATGTTATATAAATTTCAATTATATAATCTCTATTTGAGGGACCAATTGTGGTGTCATTCATGTGACACAACGAAGAATGTAAATTGTAATCAGAGGTGATAGTTGCGGCACCGGATGGCGAGTTCTGATCACCACAAACACTATACACAACGTATGTACACAACGAGTACAGTATATCCATAACAGCAAACATACTGTTTGGCGAAGAAAACAAAATAATTATTTAATAAATTAGTTATTTTTGTGATTAGCTTTGAACACAAAATTGTCGTCAAATGGCGGCCAACACTCATTAGTATCTCTTCTTATGTTTTCTCTTGTGTTTCTTAGGCTTCTTCTGGTTGTCATCCATGTCTTCGTCGATGGACTGATCGGCCGATTGTCTCATTTTATTTAAGCGGAAGTTCTCTAATACAATGCCCTGAAACTCTGGGGACTCTTCAAAATCGGAACCATCACCAGCTGTTCCATCGCCCTCTTCTGGCCGCCATCGTCTCCTCCCGTCCGCCATCGCCCCCTCATTAGCCTCCTGTCCGCCATTCATCTCTCTATACGATTCTTCGTGATTATGGACTGACGACTGGTCTTCGGCCTCAGAGTCGGACAATTCAATACATATGGGCTCTTCTCGATGGATACGACTTCGACGGTGTGTCTCTAAAGCGGACAATAGAGTTCTGCTCCACTTCGAGTCGGGTTCCTCTTCTGGTTCAGCGCCACTGTCTTCTTGTGGCGCCACTTCTTCCTCATCTGCCGCCTCTTCTTCTTCGCTCACTAGAGGCCCATATTGTGGTTCCTCTTGTTCTTCGTCCGCCATATATTCCTCTTCGCTGTCAATATCTTCGGTCCCCAAATCCGTGAGCACTGCCTCCTCTTCGCCGCTATCGATATCCTCTGTTCCCAACTCTGGCATCACTTCGTCCTCCTCTTCGCTGTCGATCTCTTCTGTACCCAAATCTGTGACTCCATTACAACGTCCGCCGGTATTGCGGGAACCGTTTTTGGTGACAGTACTCTTCGCCGCCTGAATGCTCTCTTGTAATTGATCTAAAGTAATGAGAGTCAAGTCAGTGGTTGTCGGCGATTGACGGGAAGTGCTCTGAACGGGTGGCTCGGGTGGTGGCGACGGGCGCGGCGGCGGCCGAGCGATCGCCGGACGTACGGGTTGTCTAAATCGGGTCCTCGACTTCGCGGACGGTCTTCGGTGGCAAACAGTGCCGAAGTAGCGGTCATTGCGAGCAGTGGTGTCCCGAATAATCTTCACGTATGTCTCATAGCAGACCTCAATCTCTGCCCTCCTATTGGCCGCGAACTCATACTTGTCGATGGGTCTCAAGAAGACGGGACCCACTCTTCGCACGTCGTCCGCAAATGTCTCCTCCGATTGTTTATAAACTGTTATGACTGTCGGACGCCATCGTTCAGTGCCGCCACTCATTGTCACCGCAACTGATCCGCCAGTCGTTGTCTTCTAAGGCATTGTTTATCTGTGAAAATGCAAAAAACAATAT